CCAGCTCGCGGCAAGCTAGCTGATAGCAAATCAGCGCACAATGGTCAGCATGGAATGATTAACGCGCGGATATACACCGTCATCTGACATGCTCACTAATAAATCAATACCAATAACGTCGACAGGAGTGCCAGCAATAACTCTAACACTAGTAGCCAGATCACTCCCCCCAACCACCGATATCGATGCTGCTGCTGCTGCTGCTGAGGTGCAACGCGAGCAGCAGCAGCAGCAGCAGCAGCAGCAGCAGCAGCAGCTGCCGCAAAAGTAGCAAAATTCGTAGTGATATGTGGTATGGCATGGACAACTCCCGTCAGCGCAGCTCACTAGCTTACTGTTGGACACGTGGAAAAGCAACTGAACCAGCACTACTGTTAAACACACGTCAGCAACATCGTCATTACCATCACCATCCTCGTCATTGTCACAATCATCGTTATCAGCAGTTGTTCCCATACGCCGTCGACAGAGTCGGCCGCTAGCCGGTCGGGCTACCCCCGCCGCCGCGGCGACCACCGCCAAGCGTTGGGTCTCATTCTATTAGCCATTTTTAACCCCCGACGGCGTAGCTACTGCTGCTACAAGAAGAAGAAAAAACATACGCCTGCTGTCTTGCCGACGCCGCTACGGGCGCCCCTATTAACCGATGAGCAAACAGGTCCCTGTCCGCGCGAAAGTGTGATGATCATGCCTGCTGCTTTGTTGGCATGCTGTGAGTGTTATGAATGCATTACGTGTGTGAAAACTGTCCGCCGAAAAGGCTTCTTCTAAGGCCATTTTTCCACCATAATGACGACGATAGGCAACACAGTTTCATACGCCATGGCTGTAAACGGTGCCGCCCTCGTCGCCGCATCACGCACTAGTCACGCCAAACGGTACGGCTGGCTGGCTGGCTGGCTGGCTGGCATGGCGGCTTGACAAACCAGTAAACGGAACGTCCAGAGATATGAAAACAATACGGCGATAATACCCACGCGACCTTTGACGAGAAACTAAAACCCAAACGATGGCATGACATATTCGCGTACAGGCGCAACGACACGCATGCATGCACGCACGCCGGCTGGCAGACAGACACAGAAGTATACGTAGAGGACCAGACGTATTAGTAATGATGTGCATAAATAATACTAATAACATTCACAGATTAAGTGAGTGGCGAGTAGCAAAGCTGAAGGATCGTAATAATGGCATTTACGACTGCTACATCATATGTTGTTCTTACATATACACACATATGTATTCATTGTATCGTGCTGAAGACACTTGTGGTTGATCCAATAGCGCTGCAGAATGATGACGCGCGTTGTCGCTGAGCCAGCAGGAGTGAGTCCATCGCTACCAACGTCAGCAGCAGTAATAGCACCGCTACAGCCAATCAACCAAAGAGGAGCACAGCGAGCAGTAACTGAGCCAATGGTAGAAAGGAAAAAAAAGGAGAAATGGAAATCACTAACATTCAGGCGCTCGTTCGAGGGCAACCAAAGTAGTGAGTATCGAACAGGCCAAACCAGGCCAGGCCAGGCCAGGCCAATCTTAGGACGGGGACGGAAGGAGAATATCTGTTCGAAAAAAAAAAAAAATTCACGCCTAGCGAGGGAAAATATTCGATGGGAGAAGAATGGCTGTATTGCTTCTGCAACGTAGTCGTGCTGGTAGGTGCGCGTGTGTCAGTGTTCACTATGTAGGCTCTGACCAATGTTCTATAGTCATAGAAAAATGGGTATCCGGTACCAGCAGCGGCGCCAGTAGTATTAACAAAAATTATATAGATTCAAGCGACAAATATGATCATCATCATCATCTATCGACAAACTTGTGCTAGTACCGCCGATGCGATTTCTGTTTTATAGATCTAACTTTCATAGCAGTGTGAGCAGATAAGGGAGAGGGATCGAATGGAAACACAAATGTAAGACGAACAGGATTTTCTTAGGGCCGTATATACAATCTTGCAAAAGTGCATTATCATTTATAAATCAATAGTATACTTGACGAAACAAGTAAATATACCCTTTTGCTATTTTAATGCTAACTACATCTCAAAATTATCTGGACGAGCCTCAACTATAAATGGAAGTACATAATAAAAAAAAAATCACGTTATGTATTATACAGTACAACTCATGTCTTAAAAAAACATTACATTAATTATACTCGTGCATTAAGAAGAGGGTGGTTCAGTTATTTTCGTTTTATTGCTCACTAAGCTTTGAATAGGCTGGCTGTTTCGAAGGTGGCAACTTATCTGAGGAGCAGCAGTCGCAGGGACTAGGACCCTTCTGTTCTATCGATTTCTATCCTTTTTCGTATATCCTACTAAACTTTAACAGCGCAGACGAATGTGAGCAGAATGAAGCTCAAAGGGCGCCACAACTTGCTCTTGTTTCTTCTATAGTAGTTTTATTGCCGGTATATACCTTTCTACGCTGTGTCACGAAGCGCCACGCTGCCCCAAGGACAAAGGTAATCTCTAAGAACGACGACTGTCAGCCGAGATCGACAAAAGGCGCTCCGCAATTGAGTCGGTCAGCCTCAAGATCAATACTCTAGACTTGACTCTATCATCGGATAACTCATGGAGCGGGCAATTCCTACAGGGTAACATCCAAGCTGCATACGATGATCTATGTAAAATATGCAATTCGTTCATAACCGTCACCAACTCTGCATCGGCAGCTTGTATGTTATAAGGCATCCCAATTTTAGTAAATGATAACCAAGCCGACAACATGTGACTTGCTACTGTATTAAAAAAAAATAGATGTATGTATTTTTTTTATAGCTGTCCGCTAAAGAAAATCAATGGCCTTGAGAATCCTATCGCAATCTACTGCTCGCCCTCGTCCCATTTCGAGTGATACTATTATGTGTAAATTCGTTAATAACACACACAAACAATTCTAGTAGAATTAAACTTTGGATGCATGGTAGGCCAAAGGTCTCAAAGGTGCATGAAATAAAAATGTCCAATAAATAAAAAAAGGCGCATAGGGTCTCAAAAAAAATCTGGAGGTCAGCTGGCAAATTGGCAATAGGTACCCTGCTCTTTAAGACCACCGTTCATTTCTATAGAAAATATCCAGTGTGAACTGTTGAGCCTTTTCGATTTAAAACCTGGTGAGGACCTTTTGATTTACCCCAGTCAGAAGTCTTCTTTGGGTTTTTCAGACGCCACATGATAATTAGCAGTAATAAAAAGGGTTGACTTCGAATAAAAAGGAAAGCCCTTTGATCTTGGTGACGGTTTGCCCAGCGCAAGGAAATTGGATAATAGCTCGTTATCGCTCATTATAGCGAAAATGACGGATTTTTTTTCGTCGTGGGGAACTTGTTGTTTTCTCCTAAGAAGAATGGGCTCTTAGTTCCAGGAGTGGCGGACGAACGTACGCGTGTTACGATAAGCTGCCCGTCGAGGTATGTTTTAATTTAGGTACCGTAGTCTGTACATTACAAATAAGGTATTGTATTTTTGTCATATAAATGAGTTTGTTTGGTAATACGTGATTCTTGTACAGACCAGAAAAACATGCTATACAAATATTATTTACAAATTAACCTTGCGAGGCCTAAATTTATGGTTTGCAGCAAAAACTTAGTCAATACAGGTAAGTAAGTTACCTAATACCTATTGAGCTCAAGTATAGACAGTGAATAATAAGGCAGACGGTACAGAAGACATTCATTAAAAAACACTTGAAGATGTGATCGAACAACGCATATCTCTCCGAAACAAGTACACCGTAACTCAGTGGTGACTTAAAACAACATCTGTTGTCGTCTTTAGCCCTTTCTCAGATTTCCCTGAATTGTTTTTTATTGCTGGCTGGTACAATTTATGCAGATCATTCATAATATTCTACGTCCGGCGCATTCATAAGTAGCGACGTTCATTACTGGTATTTTCACTAACGTGCTCAGTTTATGCAATACAAACGAACATATTTAATATGAATTTAGTCTGCTATCTACTGCGTAGCGCAAATTGTAGAGCGTTTACGGAGATGACGCAAAACATAGAAAATTCCATGGCCAGCAGCGGTCGCGGATAAATACAGCAGATAGAAGACGGACAGAGAGAACAAGGGCCATCGTCGTCGTTGTCGCAGCGGCAGCCAAGGTGTAGGGGCGAGAACGAGAGGCGAACGGTAAGGAGAGCAATACAGAATTAACGCAGTGAGTGGAACGGAATCGGATGCGATTCTGGCGGTCCTTGGTTTTACTCTGTCTGCAACTGCTGCCATTGGCTTGAACTGAATTCGAGTCGTTGGACACAGCTGTCTTTAAAGGACTCTACCAGGAGAACTGGTGACCACATCTTAATTGGTCTTGGCCAATAAACATGATGCCGGACTATCGATTATGGAATACTATTCACCGGGCAACATTTCGATAAAGGCTTGGAATATATTCGCTAGCACAGTATGAATACATAGAACGTCTTTCAAGGTAGCCTCTTCAAAATATTCCCGCCTATCGTTCAAATATATGTTGCTTTTTCTGAAACAAGAAAGGACAATAGTCTTCTTGAAATTTCAGGCAAGGTTTTTCGTTATTTCTGCTAAGTTAAAAGGCACTCACATGACCATGATCGTGTCATGGTTCAGCATCAGCAGTACCCCAGGTATAAGGTTTTGCCTATCATACTGGACAGATGATGCCCGAGTACGCGTAGTCAACAGCGGATGATTTTAACCGAGTGCATTTATTCGGCAGGTTTCATCATATTTTAGTTAATTTTATCAATGCTCTATCGACTGACTTCGGCAGCGCTTGAGCTCTATGGTAGGCTAATCAGTGCTTGTTCTCTTCGACGCGGAGATCCATTCAAAAACCATTCGTGGTAAATTGACTTAGGTAGGCTGTTTGGCTGTGTCGGTTAGTTAGCTAACGCAGTACACATACGATTTTAAAAGTTAACTATAAATTGCCTATTTACTATTTCGTAGAGTGTAATAGCTGATGCGCGTAAAAGTAACTTCGGCTGTCATACTTACCCGGAGAGAATAGGTGAGCGGGCTCGGTAGATGGTGAAGCCCGTCTTTGGCGCTCCCTGCGTCCAGGGGCCGTTTGCCGTCGACGTGAGGCAATTATTTAAGCACACATCGTCGTCGTAGCCGTTGGTAAAAGATAATAATGACTATATATATTGTAATAGTTTTGTTTTTATATATTATTGTCTGGTATCCTTCAGACTGGTAGGCAAGAAATATATCCTTATAGCCGTTTATACGTATTATACGTAGATCTCAATATGATATTATTCCGTAGAGCGTCGTTAAATAAGCAGTTGCTTAGCGCCACGATGCTGCTGCCATCGATCGTACAGACGAGTCTTCAAGTAGCTTGAACGCAATCCCGGTTTTTCGAACCGCTATCATAATCCAACCTGGATGATGAGGATGCCCCGAACCACATGTTTCCAGAGTGATATGGAAACGACGGCCACTTGAGAGCAGCTAGTAACGTCGCAAAGTCTTAAAGAAGTTAACAAGAATCTAACAAATTTTAACCGGGGCAAACTCTTTCATACGATGGGGTGACCCTGCGTCAGTTCGGTTTGCCCCTTCGCACAATTAACATTCACGATATGTACACATGCGAACGGCTGAAGAAACGGGGGCGCGCACATTTGCTTCACTCATTCACCACCACCACCACCTCCCCCCAGTCACACCCTCACCCACATCCAGACACAAAGACACCTAGAGACACACACATTTACATTCATACACACACACACATAACACAGATAGGCACCTGCGCGAATAAAGCACGTCTCTAAAGATGCAATCAATTGTTCAATACAATTGATTGGAAGGACAGAATCAACTGAACCTTCACAAATCGTTTTTTCGTCGTCTCAACACGTTTTTTTGCTAATTAATTAGTCAATTAGGTCGCTCGGTATTGGCGGTCTGATTCGATTGCGCCGTCCGCTATACACTTGATCATCTCACAGCGTAGCATCACCGATCAACTGGACTCCGCTAAGGACACAAACGCAGGTAATGCACACTTTATTGTGAAGTAAGCCACTTGTTGAAATTGACGATTAAAAACAACAGAGTGGAGATGGTGATGATATTAACGATGATGCTGATCATCAACTTCAAGGAAATAGCGGAGCGTCATGAAAACAGCCTCGACGAAAGGACGTAGAAGTGATGTGGCATATATTCTATTGGTAAGAGATTGTGAGTCTTTACTATCTAAAGAGGGCTGCGTTCGACACTCACTCTTTTCCGTATCTGTCTCCCTGTTGGAAAGCTTGGCGATGTGCTTATGTGTTTGTCTAAGTCCACATGACCTTAATTTTCGTTTTAGGCTGTCCCGCCTGGGCGTGCTCCATTCATTAAAAGCCTTGTGCTTCACAACTATATTCACTCGTAACGACCAGATCACTTTGATATATTCTTATCACTCTGTTTGGTTATTTGCAATTCATGAATACACACAGCCCGAAAATGCTTTTTCATTATGTCTTGATCCAGCAGGACACGAAAAACTAGCTTTTTTTTATCTCCTGATGCTTTTGGTTCTTCTATTTTCTCTATTATTGACGTTTTTTTTCGTTTATCGTGTTCGTGTTGCTGGTGTGCTCTTTCACTTTTCATTTTCTAAGCTACTCTTACGACCACTAGCTCTGACGATTCTCCGTTGACTTTCACGTGATGATCATCTACCTTCTCTGTGCCTTTGGTCCTGTTGAACGTTTGTTGATGCGCCGAATCGAACCCCCTCGCCTAGGGGTCCTGCTCTTTTTCTGGCTCTTTCGTTCTGTGCCGTTCGTTGCTGCTCCGTCTGTTCCGTTGTCTATATTGCGTTGCTAATTGTGCTCGTTGATTGTTGTTGTTGTTGTTGTTGTGCTACTGCTGCCGCTGCAGATGTTGTTGTTCAAGTTCCTGTTGTTGGTATTGCTGCTCTTGTCTCTGGTCATTCGATCGGTGTTTTCGTTGCTGACTATCGTCGAGACGCGCATTACGGCTGGGGGAGTGGCGGCAGCAGCAGCAGCAGCAGCAGCAGCAGCAGCAGCGGCCGGAGTACCAGCGTAATATAGTTATTTTCCTTCGTCGTATTCTTCCACTTCGTCGTCCTTTTTCTTGTCTCAGCCACTCACAATCGTTTCGATCTGTCCTAACCGCCGTCGCCGTCACACCGTCACTGCTGTGCTGCGTTCACTATTGTCGCTCGCTTGGTGTCGCTGTTGCTGCAGCTGCTGTCGTGGTAAACGGCGACAGTAACAGCGCACGAGCCGTAATAGAGGCAACAACGAGGTTGAAGTTGACGCAGAAGGAGGAGCCACCAGCGATGACGATCACGACGACGACCACTCCTGAAGACTACAGCAGCACTGATAGTGACAACAACGACAACAACAGCAGCAGCAGCAGCAGCAGTAGCAGTAGCAGCAGCAGCAGCGGTAGTAGTTGTTGTAGCGGCGTCGGCAGCGCCAATAGCAGCAGCAGCTGCAGCATCAGCAACAACGATCACTCGTGCTGCTGCTGCTGCTGCTGCTGCGACGGTTTCAGTGGCGACGACGGCGAGACAGTAGTGGCGTTGGCCGCTGTCACTGCCGTTGCTGTTGGCGACCGAAGGCGGTTAAAGTCTGTGAAATAGCGGCGGCTGCAACACGGGCCTTGATACCGATTCCTAGCACCTTTAGCAGAGCGTCTGTAATCTAGGACACGGCAACTAGCAAGATTTCACGAAAAGCGCAACCGCTGTTACTCCTGCACTACGAATGGCCGCCCGCCACCCGCCGCCCCCGATGGACGAGCAAGCGAGTACCAGTGACAGCGGCAATCACGACGACGGCGGCGGCTGTTGGAGCGGCGGTAGTGGCCGTCGCCGTGTTCTTCCCCGCGTTCCTTCTTCTTGGCTCTTGATATATGGACGGCGACTCAGCAGCGCTTGTGGATGTGTGGCGTCAATCGTGGACGGAGCCGGACTAGAGGTGCCGGATCGCACAACTGCCGTTACTACACTGCTCTAGCGTCGTGCCATTGGTGTTGAGTCGACCAGTTGTTTGCTGCGGCGATGTTGAACCGATTTCGTTCGGAAGCACTAAGAGAAGCACGATGACGCTGTTGCCGCTGCAGCAGAATGCGGCTGCTGCCTGGATGGACGCTGTCTTGATGTTTTGTTAGCGCTGGCGTGGCGTTCGTCGTTGACTATCTATCTAGTAGCTGCGTCGTCGAACCGTTGTTGGTCGAGCGCTGGCGCTGCTATTGCGACGGGCTGCGCGGTAGCAGCGGTTCTACTAGCGGCTGCAGTCGCTGTTATCTCTGCCGCTGTTGCTGCTGCTGTTTCTTCGGGCGACGACGACGGCAACTGCGGCGGCAGCAGCTCGACTTTCCGTACGGCCGCCGCCACCTCCTTTCCCATGCCACCAAAACTATCAGCAAACGGCACCAGCAGCACCAGCGCCACGGCCGGCGGGGGCTATCCTCCAGCTAGCCGTGCTCACAGGCTGCATCCACGCTGCGATGCTGCGGCGGCGGCGGCGGCGGCAGCAACAGCAACGACAGTGGCGCCACGTCGTCCACCAGACGGATGATATCTAGACAGACAGGTTAATTGACGACTAGCGGCACCAGCTACTCACTGGCGCCAATAGACGCCGCGCCGATACCTCCGGCTGGGTATTAGAACTTTTATTGTTGGCGACAGACAAGGCGCCTTTACAGAACAGCGGCGGCGACGGCAGCGCTTTGAACAATCGTCTGAACTGGCCGTCAGCAACAGCAGCAGCCGCAATGGAACCTTCCCAATGGTTCGGTAGTCTCGCGCGCGTTGCCGCCCGACCGTCTGGCGCTTCTAGACACTCGTAGCAGCAGCGGCAGCCGTCCGTCTCAGCGGCTTCAGCTGCTGGCGCAAGAAAGAGTGGGGTCAAAGCAACAATGCGGACGCCCGGTACGCTGCTAGCTACACCTCTACCAGTAGCGTGGTCGATTCAACTAGCGGCAACACGTCATCCTCGCCGTCGTTATCACGCACAGCCTCAACGACAGCTTGACCAACGACAATGACGGCAACAGCTATAGCATCTGCCGCTATCCGCCGGCCGCTATGAGCCCGCACAATCAGCGGCCCGATACTTGAACGATCTTGGCAATAGAGGCAGCTGTCCGAGTTGTTCTTGCTGTTCGCGCTGGAAGCCCCGTCGGACTACTCAGCTCACTGCCGTACAGCACAGCTCCAGGTCCTTTCCACTTCAGCGTTAGTCTGTTACATATGTATATGTAAGACAATGTAATGGTGTTAAGTGTTTCACGGGGACACTAACTGTGCTGTGACTACGAGTCACTGGTAATAAGAAGATGTTGTAGCCGTAGGCATTGAAGCAAACTGGTCAGAATCGAGAATATTCGACCTATAATCAGCACTCGCATCGAAGGCCGCGCGTGCAAGTTTCTGTTGACCAAGCGGACACCGTCCGGATAAGGCGCATTGCCTTTTTAACTGGGGTGGTTGAGGATGCCGTGAGACCCAACCGCGATATGCGCTCCGTTAAATAATTTTCTTTTCAGTTCTGTTCCGTTGTCAAGAAAACTCCTCGACGGTCGTCGTCGTAGTATAGAATCTACAAACGCACATCGAATTACAGTCTTGTTTAAACAAACGGAAAGCTTTTTCATGCGCAGTGTTCAACGGGCGAGGCAACCCAGCCGTGCTGACAGCTTTCAGGCCCTGGTGCTTGTCTCATACTCAGTAGCATTTCAAGGGTGTTGGTTAATATTTTTGTTATATTCTGTCCTGTCTTTCGCATTTCCCGCTTACTCACGATTTGTTAGCAAAACAAGCCGTAGACAACCGTACTTTGAACAGGCCGTTTACCTAACCTGTCGTCGACGATACTTGCTTTGCTATGTACCATGCGCCTTCATTTTGGTTTCACTGTGATAAATACCAGCAATTCGCCAAGGTTTTATGCAACGCTTGCCCATTTCAGAGCCTCACTATTTACTCATTGCTGCTTAATGAATTCTTCTTTTTAGCGTTTCGTGCCTGTGTTATTTCGTTTGAAGTCAGCCAGTCCAAATCAGGCAGCCGCACTCAGTCAATCAGTTAGTAACACACTTTTCACACTAGGTTTCTGAATAGTTTTCTTGTTTACCCAGTTGATCCTGTTTCGCCTTGTGCCGCGTATTCTTTCTATGATACCTCACCGTTACTACGAAGGAGGATGAGAGTGTGTCTAGGGCCGGTCGAAGGTATTCACATGTTGCTTTGTCCTTACTAGTTAGTTTAGCCTATATGTGGTGAGGCAAATACATGTCCGTTTAGACGACTGCTTGCTTGCATGCAAAAACGCAATCCAAAAGATGAGATGAACTTAGATTGAACACAGCCGTCTATATCTTGCCCTTGTTGATTATCTGCATGCTGATTGAGGCTTTTACGGAACGGCGAGTTCGCACTCAGTGGAAGGAGCAGAAGCGTGAACCAGTCGAACAACGCAGCCGCCGAACCCCAGCTCCCACTGCTAACAGGACACGGCGAATGACTGAGTAATACACGGAACCCTAACGGTTTGTCTTTTCAGTGTGTAGCACACTGACGGCACTGGCGCAGTTCGGGCTCTCCTCCGCCCCGTCGTCGTGTGACGTCACCGAGAGGCAGGAATGCCCGCTTTGGGTGAGGGCTCCATGTAATATAGAAGTTGCCTTCGGGGCTGGTGTCAGGCGTGAAGGCATGGGAGGTTGTTCATGATGGAGGGCAATTCGGAACCCCAGGACGAGGAAACCTAGACGATTCTTGAAAGTTATGGTTGCCTGCACACCGTACACGCGAATATATGTAGTAACAGAATACATATATCAGAGATTTTAAAAGCGTATGATAATGTTAGTAAAAAAATACGAGAAAAAGAGGGCCATAAAATAAAAGAGAGCTAGAAGAGTCTTAAAAATACTAAAGTCAAATACAGTTACGAATGTATCAAAGCTGACAAGTAAATGTGCGCATTTGCACTGATTTACAGCAATATGTAAAATGCCAGCAAAAGTGTATTTGCGCACTAATGCTCTCTTAAATCTATGTTGCTAACCAGATGAAAGCACAGAAATAGCCATGGGTGCAGATATCTTCTACGTCACCTTTGTTCTATAATACTTGTGTTTGGTCAAATGGATACGCTGAATAGGCGGCCAAGATGTTGGCCGGTTGCAGGAAAGAACCCCCGACGCGGTGAGCTGGCAATAGCAGGCCCCCGGTGAGCAGGCCGCCTTGGAATTGAAGGGTAAACGAGGGAAAGGGCGATCGTGCACAAGGCTGCTCCCACATGCTATCGCCGAGGAATCTCAAAAGATTCAGCAGCATGCAGCAGAACAAGCTTTCCACTACCTTAGTCAGCCTGCGGGCCCCAAGGGGTCTTTCTTGTCTGTGGCAGGAGATTTTGAGTGCGCCTATGTAAACAGCAATAGCGGCCAAACGATAAACATACCATTAGCGGGCGACAAACTAAACATGTAGATCAAACAAATTGTTGTGTCTCAGACATATATATAATTCTCATATAATTATAGTTACATTGCGATACAGTGCGGAATGCAGCCGAGGTTTAGAAGGCCTCACGTTGTATATAGAGTAACATTAAGCGTTCATTTAATTTTGGAATTACACTGTTTGCGCTACGATGCAAATTGTTCCGCTGTACCTTTCCGCTGCTGGAAATGGCAGAAATGGCCTTTATTACTTCAAACATATGCGAGCTGGATATATTAGAACTTGTGGTTGTCCGACTACCTTTTTTCCGGATTTCCGCTGTATTTCCGTTTGCTTCCTCTGATGTCCTGTCGTTCGGTTCGACTAGACGACCGGTCTCCCCGTGCGTTCATGCCCCAACGCTCTTCCTTCAATAAATGGGGGAATTCGGGCGACGGGGGTTGAATAAAGAAAAAGGGTTTTTACAATAGGCGCAGAGGCAAAGCAGAACAGCGCTGAATTGGTCTGACTACTTTAACTAGGTACTATCTACTAGGCAAGCAGTTACGTGATCGGGTCATGGCAAACATAGCAGACTGTTGTCCCTCTGTACACCAGGACGAGAAACTCCCTGCCTTCCTCTAGCATTAGCGGCTGAATCTTCTTGAGTGCTGGTTTACAGGATCTTTGTAAGATTGCCTGAGTGAGCTGGTTTAATTTGCGGTAGACTAGACAAGACTTGGCCCGACAAGGCTATGACGTCGCAGACGTGCCAAATTAGAATAGGCGAGGGAAGGGAAAAGACATACCTCATCGACTGCTGGAAGGACCGCCTTCGCCGTAATTTGTACGACCTTCCCAACTTTGAATCCTGCACCATGATTCCCTCGCAGATTACAAGCACTCAATCAGATGGGTGGCTCCTTATAAGTCGAACGCAACTGCTGACGTCGAAGCTAGCGAAGGGGAAGAGTTGTACGACCGTGAAGAGGACGCCGGCGGTTGGAGAAGTCTGAGTGACTGCTAGTAACGATAGGACAGATGGGCGAAAGCATATCGAAGTGGTAGGAGACTGGAAGCGGCGCAAAAGGATCTTGGCGTTGAGCCGGCTCAACCTAACAATACACCTGTCAGACCTACCCGCGTATGATGATGTTGATGGTGATGGCCATGATGGCGCGAAGCTTCGAAGGATAAGGGGAAACAATCAGGCTATCCCTATTATTACTATTACTGCAAACGGCCCTGTTGGCAGGAAAATGGCAGTGAGCAGTTGTGTGACGCCATTTCGTCCTAAACAGCTGCGTAGTCGTATTTTCAAGGCTTGTTATTAAGCGATTACACACAGTACACACAACTGACTGACACACACTTCTGTGAGCTACAGACTACAGATATTTTAACAATAATTATCATATATTCTATTTATAAACCCTAATTATTAATGCATTAAACCAATAGTTCTTAAAATTTCAAATTGGCTTACGAAATAAGCTCTAATTATACCGCTAAATATGCATAACGCATGTTGTCATTACACGTATCGAATAATGATCTTTGTGTATTTTTCTAATGTTTCAGGATAAACATTAGTATATATTTTTACTAAAATAAATTGCCATTGTCACTTAAAGTGTTTGCACAGGTTGTCTCAAACCTAGCTCAGTACTTTGACAGAAAGTTTTGAAAAATTATCGTAGGGATTTTTGTCTTGCAAGAAGCTCAAATACTTAGAAATCTGACTTTTATTTGATTGACTATTTAGAGTGCTTGTATCAGACCACTCTTGTTAATTCATGCCCATTGGGACACGTTCATGGGTCAGAAATTGGGCTCTACCGATAAAGGAATTGTTCTACGTGGATGCTATGGTATTGTCGCCATATTAAAAACCTTAAAATATCTTACTCATCAGTCAATATACTAAATCGAGCCATTCCTTGTAGCGCGCAAAGAACGATGTATATTACTGATGATCTACAATTCTGTTGTTATCTGCGAAATAAGTAGTCATTACATTGATTCTGACTTATAGGTCCAAAAAAATATGATTAGAGTGTATAATTATTATAAAATTATCCTATTCACATTGGACAATTTAATTCGTTCCGCGTCATTTATGGTAAAAAATTTTTTAGTGAGGTGCAATAAGCTTCTCGTCAACTTGCAGCTTAATTTAGTGAGGGTTGGCTTATGCCGACCCTCAACTTTGGGGGACGAAGAATGCACGACAGAACCTTTACTCTATGTTTATTCTGCTTATAATGTTTCTTTAATACATTTATGTAATATCCTGTCTAGACAAGACAGCTATCTGATTTGCTCAAAAAGCCTTAAATGATGAAAGCATTAGAAAAAATGTATGTTGATAATAATTCCTCAGCTGCTTAATAACCGATAAGTTTGTGATCTCTAATGAACGTATATTTATTATTTTTTTTCTTAACCTGACAAATGGCGGAATAAGTGTATATTCACGGTCCATTGAAAGAATTGTTATCACAAAGGTCGAAATTACACTAAAATTTGCCGTAGAACGAGAAATTTTGACCTATATAGATTGATATTGACTTTTTTCAACAAAAAAAAACGCCTGTCCTACGACTGACAAACTGACGTTCAAAAAGAGGAACAATGATAAAGCAAGGCGACAGTTTGTTTAGACAAAAATCAATTAGGGAAGCGACTGAATCGTAAAAGGAACATGTGTTATTTTACTACCACACTCTGTTAGAGTCGACAGAGCGAACTTGCTCCTATTCTAGATATATGGATGAAATCAAGAATGACTTGAGGTGCTGACATTGGTAGAATGGATCAACCGGCAATGAATGTAGGCTATACCGATAGTTAGTAGCTGAAAAAATTGACGCTCCAATGGCGGCTATGAACGTTAGAACATCAAATGTAACCAAAGCAGTTGCAGAAAGGAACTAAATGACAATATGTGGAACCTTATTGTGCAGTTCAAAGCTGTAAGCAAATTCGTAGATTAATACACATTTAACTTTTATTTCACTCTTCTACTTATCGCTTTGTTTCACCGAATGATATCGGGATAACGTAGAGTTAGCAAACTAAAAACTCATTACTTTTGTTTTCGGTACTATTTTTTTCTAGTTAGCAACAACTTGTTCCTTTCCTTCGAAGAACTCTGGCCCTCAGACACATCATTGCTTCACGAAAATCTTTGTAACTCTTTCATTTACGACACATAAAGCAAGCGTGCCATGAGCCCCGGTATACAGGACCAGCGGAGTAAAACAAAGTTTTTTGCAGAATTTGCTATTGAGCATTTAACAATGTGAGTAATTTCGCACGCACATACACATGCACATAAAAATCCATGTAAAAATGATAGGCCACCAAATAAATGATTGAACGGCTGGAGAGGCAGCGGGCGGTTCTGCAACCTAAACATCGTTGCATTTAGGGTGGACACGACCACTCGTTCAACTGATGCTCGAACTCGACCAACTATATATCTCAAGAATAGTTGAAAAATTACGCATTTTGTTTCGGAATTGTTATGTTAAATTCCAGATATTTCGATGGTAGGATGGATAGAGTTCGTGGTTTAGCTATTGCCTTTCTGAATTGTGCAAAGCACTTACCTAATATGTATAGAAAATCTAGGCTGCATATAACAATAAGAATTTGTACTGCCGTTTGCTCTGCTTGACACTATTGTGTTCTTTTATTTGTAGTACAAATCAAACCGGCTACTCTCAGTCATCCCTACGCGATGATTGGGTACCTCAGTTAATCTTAGGACAGGCAAGTACGTTGTTTATTATGACTGTGCTTGTATAACTGAAAAAATCGACGCACAACAGCTCTTCAAGTGTACATACAAGTAGGTGTCCACTGACCGATGCGAAGCCTAAAAGTAATCCTATTATGTACTGACAGTTAAGAACCTAGAATTTGAATTTAGCAAAATCTAACAGGCTTCCTAAACTACGCATTGATAATGAATCTCAATGAGAAAAATCAATGTCGCTAATACTTTAACATTAGGGACAGGAGCAGATTGATCAAAAGCATAAAACAATACCTAGATGAGACTCGGTGGCTGGACGGTCATACCGTTTAGAACCACAAGCTTAATTTTGGTGCGCCTTGTTTAGGTTATGTATCGTCGCGTAATATGCAGAAGAGTTTAATAGGCTATTGCATTACGGAAAAGCGCACACCTGTAGCCACAGTCAAAAAAAAAAACCTAATCTAAAAATAACTCAGACTAGTTCGTTACTTTTGTACTGCTCAATACATACGTCCAGCCTTTTACATTTAAAAATGAAGGACCTGTACGTCAAGCTCCATCGCAAAGCGACACCGCTAGTGTTCTTGCAGACAGTTTCTTTCGCAGATGTCGTAAGATTTTTAATGGAGGTATTTAATTCTCCTTGTCGTCTAGGATTCTCTTTACTAGAGAAGAGCTGTACTGGAGCGTCCTATAGACAAACTTTAGCGCCAATTTCGTCATGGCTACATCGAAATATTGGACTTCGGTTCATCAGGCAGCGTCATATTGTTGAAGCGAAACTGAACTTTTTGAATCCACCTGATATTCTATTGAAGAAAGCAAAAAATAAATAATCACATATCCTTATGTATTTACAAATTGTGGCTGTATGAAAATTAGTCAAAAGGAGGTACCAACTACTTCGTGCAAATGACTCAGTGCTCTTATTTCTTACTGCCCTGTAGCTAATAAATAAATCACCAGTTTTTCCTTATAATTATTATGGCCCAGTACTGAAGAGTCTTCCGTTTTAATGCTAGCAATGATTAAGACAAATGAACAGCACTCAAGCACATCTTCAATTTTAGGAAACAATAGTATCTAAACCGACTGATCCTTGCTTAGGGGCGATACCTTATAAACAGCCTTTAGCTGTTTGGAATTTGTAGTTTCTACATCAAGGACCGACAGCTCAAGGCACAAAAAAGATTTAGTTTAATCATTTACCGTATTGCCATTTGCACGATGTCTTCAGCTTAATTAATAAAAGATCGGACAAACGATTACTATTGCACGTGCAATTGTATATTGTGGAGTTGAGGCGAGATTTCCCAATCAGACTTAGCAATAATTGTGAGAGCTTTAATGTCGTGGAGTAACAGCTACAAAATTAACTGCACGTTGAACATGAACTTCCTATGCATAGCTAATCAACAACAGTCTCAATATCCCACGCTATGGGAACTTTCTCATGGTTTTCGTATAAGACGCTCAATAGTGACTTTCAAAACTTAAATAAACACTAAATACCTAGCAATGGGCAAGTAAACCAAAACTACAATATATCTTTTTTTTCTTTTAAAATCAATGGCCCATATCTGCTCAGCACCCATACAGCAGGTTTACACATGCACAACGTAAAGCAGTCCTAGCATTGTGACTTCACTTTATACAAACCACAATCAGAGCACTCGCCTAACACAGCGATCTTATTGTCATCTTACAGATGCATGAAGTAGAACCGCTCACCGACACCCTTGTACTTCAATCTTGTAAAGGGATCAGCTAATGACGAAATCCGAATGGTGATATGTTACGCTGAAATGACCAAGAAATATGATAATGTACTTGTCTAAATGATTTTACGCATTGTTTCTCGTTCTGAAGTATCACTTAAACCGACACAAAACACTGATACGTTCGTACTACGGAACTGTCACCAGCCTTGAAAGTATGCTTTAAAAAAAAAAACACTGATTAACGTCGGTTAAAATCAACTGTTACTGACTATAATCAACACGCCGTAATTAGACGGTAAGGGACAAATGCATAAATTCCGGTGGAAAAACACTTCCTTCAGTATATCGTAAACCGTCGGGCACTGGTGACCCAAATACCTACCCTTTATCAACTGGGCTTTAGAAGCAATTTCAAAACAATCGAAATTGTATTTCAAATACAAAAAGGATATGTATATTCGTAATCAAAATCAAAAACTCATGTCTTCTGAATAACGACGCATTGTTACACAATCTGCAGTAGACCATTATATTTATTTAATAAATCACTTGTGCAGAGAGCATTAGACACTCAACTACATCCCAAACCAGCCATAATCATAGACATATGTCGACTAACTTTTTCCCCCGTTGGTAATATGCTTACTTATTTTTCTACATTACTTCATTCTTTTCATACTTTCTACATAACTTCAGTAGTAAATCAGTATGTGTCCTCCCCTAATACATTAGGGATAAAAGTCACCTTCCAGATCCTGTGGTGCGTCTTATATACCAGATCCGAGATATACGAGGGTACATTCGTTTCCAAGACAATAATATTTTCAGTATTGTAAGACTAAATGAAACGAAAGTTCCAGTTCACTAAATCATGCAAAATAGTCCTGCCTATTAATGAACAGGGCATCTAGTAGCCTTGATTAGTCCATGTGATATTTTCCTCGGGATATTCGGGAAAGTGTTTCGCTAGGATGGCGCAGGTGTCTGCATGTTTTGCTTGGCCGAGATCAACTGAATAACCGAACACCTCAATTCGTTTTTCCTTGGCATTATGAAGAATCCGTCCACCCCCAAGTGCTTCCAACTCGAAATTCTCGTTCTCAATTGCTTTCTGAGCCAATTCGTAGATGTCCATATGATACGAACATGTTGCAATACCACGTACGATTAGTTTCGTCGCATTGGTCCGTTTATCGTGCACCCTGATCAGGACATACTTGAAGCGACCATCGTCAATTTCCACATCCGGTATCGAATCCATCCTCAATAAGCGGTCGTTTCCGTAAAGTTGGTCGAATGGATGCTAGTGCTTACGATGTTTGGAGATGTCACCGCAGCAAATCAAAAGATCACACGAAACGTGTATCAGTGTATATTCGTTCGACACTTGTGTTGATAACTGTTCTTTCTAGGATCAAATATTTCAGAATCTTAACGCAAATTCTAATGCACAACGAAAGCACTCGAAGCTATACACAACGGGACAGAACGTATCACCAAGTAATATGTAAGTTCTTGTAGAACAAACAAAGAATCGTTACCGGCGAATTCACATATGGCAGCCGGCCTATATAGTTACAGTGGGCCGCACGTCCAGCTACTACAAACATCGCTTGTATATCCGACGCTGACAAGGTTGCACGGACACGAAAGCGATGGTCAGCCAAATCGCATTCGAAACAGTGGAGCTCACCGATAGCGCTAATGCATTTTCCAATATAGCCGCAGAATACGACGTTCGTTATATACTACACTATTGCAAAGCGATTCTATTTGAGCAAAGCGCTTAGTTGTTTGTAAATATCATCTGGTAATTATTACCTAATTGATCGACGACGTTAAGTGATTCCGTGACACTGAACAGTTACTGAAGCCACAGGATTGCCATCTGAGAGTCTGTCCGCCCAGAGTTTGCCCCATGCATTGGCAACGAAAAAAACGATCTCCTCCCACTGCGACTAGCCGCATCAGGCAAACTCGAACCCATCATCGTTGTGTTTGCATGACGCCAGATGCGCGAAACTTTCTCCGTGCCTGCCATTCCCTGTGCACAGTTTGCTACCTGTACTTTTTATTTAGTTATTTTGCATAAAAAAGGCACTGCAAAGCATTGCTGTACATTTTATTATTGATACGAACTGCGTGCAGGATGTCGGTTGTATTTAGTTCTCGATTAACAAGCGTCAATAGACTTCGAAAATGTACACAGATGCCCCAAATGCGTAAAGTAAGTACACCCTCTTCTATTAGTCTCATTAACGTCATGAAAATGATCTTCAACGTGAACTATGCTGCAAAAAAAAATTATAGAAAGATCATGAGCACATCACTTAAGTACCGTAGTTACGTGAAGATTAATAGTTGGAAAACTTTTGGCGTCGTTTGCTATTTTTCTTTATGATTTCTATCCTTTCGATAGCTCGATTCATTTTGCTAGAGACTAATCTTTATGTAGATGATAATATGTGCTTGATTCCTCTGAAATAAAATTTAATTCATTTTCCAGTTATGGATTTTTTAAGAGGAGCCTACTTTTAAACTGATCAGAAGTCTATAGCACGAATTATAAGTGCTCATATTCACATTGTCTAATAACAGATAGGTTTAAATAATTCGACATGTATATTGACCAGTAGGTAGTCTCGCCATATGAAACCTGGAAAAAAGGCCTGCATAATTAATACATTTGTTAACCGTTGTTTGTATGGTTTGTTCTATCCGATCTTCTTGTTAAGCATTATTAAAGCGTTCGGCCATACCTCCCATATGATGCTGGAAAGTACTCGGTGAATCCAATAAACGCATTTTCTGATACAGCCTTGTGCACTTTTCAGTCAAAACTTGCACCTAAAAAACAGCCCTCGCAATTCGCAATGGATCACTTCGACGCGTTCTATTCAAAGGTGTTCGGTCTAGATGCCTGGAGATCGATGCGGATTGCGTTACTGAGCAAGAAGAAATATTGTGCCGTTGTAAATCCTTTCGCCGTTACAGAGGAGCTCATAGAAAGATTACGCTCTATCGGATGTCGTGAGATAGTTGGGTACGTTTCGCTTATTTGTTCGTGATAACTACACAAGTATGTAGCCCTCCCTATGGCAAACTCTGTGGGGGAAATTACAATCAATATTTTCGTGCTAGCTGTATTTATCGGTGCCCGTAGAATGCGATACCGCAACTATCGTTGTATGTTACTGATAGAGGGCTTCAATTCAAATTAATACCGAAGCTGAGCTTAAACTGGAACTTGAATAGCTTTCAAGATTTTTCGTAACACGCTTTTTTTTTCATTTAAGGCACACTATGGATATCTAAACTGTGAGCTATCCTACAGCTGCCTTTGTAGGGATCTTCGAATTTGCTAGCCATTGCTCCACTTTTCACTGCAGTATTTTATGTCGCTTCAAAAAATAGCCATATAGATTATGAATATATATGAGAGATAAGAGCATTACACCTAATGTTGAAGGTGCTATCGTTTTGTATTTGTATTGTCCATGCTATAATTGATGGCCCATCTTTTGAAAAGGGTCCTCGGTTTTATGGAACTATCGACAGGACACCTAAATGGAGAATACCTGGCTGAATAAATAAAATTTCAGCTGCACCTTTTTGAGTTAAAATAATAGTACTACTTATACTGCTCACGCAACATTACAATATTGTATCGTTTTTTACCCAAGCAAAACATTTCGTGATTTACGTTCGGACCGATACTTGAGTGTTGCTTTCGGTAGATGAGCTTAAATACGATGTGAAAAATGACTACGCTCGATCTCTAGCCCAGACCACTCCACATTGTATGTCCCGTACGTAATACTTTCAGCTCTGTTCTCCTGAATACGTCGTCCTGCACATTCGTTTATTAATAATACCGTTATGCGTGTCATTTCAGACGACCTACTAATGTTGATACCTGGGATGCTTCACCGGAAGTACAAATGACGGATTTGCCATTACCCATGCCTGACATTATGCCGAATGAGGAAGATGCAGTTTTTGATGATTCTTCTAGGTTTATTCGGGTAGAGTTCAGCATGTGTATTACACTTTTCGCTAAGGTGTCAAGTTGGAGAGCGAACCAACATTGCGTGCGGTCGAGAGATTCGTGCCGCAACAGTAATCTTCATTGATATGTTAGAGTTCGACGCTAAAATATTATAGGTCTAATTCAGTTTTACAATGAGGCGTCCTAGCAGCCGACCGATCCGTGTCTCAAATTTGGATAGCCAATTCTCTGAGTACCCCATTACCCTGTAGCCAGCTGTCATTTCCCGTTCCTCTCTATGCCATCCTCTATCAGTCCAATGTCACCTCGTCTAGCCCTTTACCATTGGGGTGTACACTGTATTAATAGTACAAGGCAGTTTTAAAATAGGTAACAGCACCAAAGAAGTAAAATAATTACGAGAACCTTTCACATCAATTATATGGTCAGTATCAATTAATTTGAGTAAAATGGATACTTTTATAACTAAAGTTAGAACTGCAAGACTTATACGAATCACATCTCCGTTGCTCATAGAACCTTAGTGAACTAAATATTAATCGCAAATACACCAAAATCCAAACAATACCTTCAGGAATGCTTGCTCTTAATCTTCAAGGCGACTACTAAAAATTGCTCTAGCGACACATCGCACTCAAGTAGCTAGTTTCTTTTTTTGTGGATGAAATAAGTTTAATCTCAACTAAATAATAATAAGCATTTGGACTCTAGTTCAAGTATAATCAATCAGCCAATCTTCAGTAACATGTGGATTGGTATGAATACGAATGATCGGAAGCTTTGCCTTCGAAGATAAACGGTGTGATTAATACACAAAATATGTATGTTTACTAACTTTGAAATGTATCTTTTTATGTATTTTAAAATATTGCTCAGATAATCTAATTTATAATGTGCTATAGAAGCAAGTTAGTTATTCACGCTACTTATTTACGAATTTTCGCTTATGTCCGTAGAGCGAGACGTCTTGTTTATCATACAAGTATTATAGCTATGTAAGATGTTATGTGACAAGCCATAGTAACATATAGATAATGTAAATTTGTTCACTATTTTTTAGAGTAACTAATTACTGTTGGTGTCTTGTAGAAAGGAAATACAGAACCGTTGTTGAGTTTTGTTCCTGCTACGGAAATTGTTGCCCAGGTGAGTCCAAGCTGGATGTGATAAAAGCATGTGGTCTGCACACGCTGTTGTTTTCTAGTCCAATGTCGATAGTATTCAGAGTCTATCTATTGAGTTTGAAAAACCTGTGCTAGTAAACATCAGTATTCCAGGAAGAAATAATCGACGAGGGACAGTACTTTAATTTTTTACAACCGGAAGGTGATAGCGAATTGGCCATGAAAACCCACAAGCCGCTGCCAGCTCTGCCTCTACACGTGTACACATTTCCTCGAGGTGTCATCAGCGATTTCCCAAGTCCTAAAAAAACAACTAATGGACTTTTTGGTTAGTTAGTAAATTATACTCATTTACAACCTAGTTTACAGGATATAGGAACTTCAGTGTCAGCACACGTCGAATTAAATACGCATATATGCAACCTCGCTTTATTTTTTAATGACTTTTCAGAGTATTATCTGATGGACGCTGCTTCGCTCTTACCTGTAGTAGCTCTTGGCCTTGAGCCTGGAGATGACTTTGCTGATTTTTGCGCGGCGCCTGGAGGGAAGACTCTGGCCGTAGCTTTTACGCAAAAAACACGTGAGTAGCTAACAGATCTCTAAGTCTGTCTATTTTCATCACAAGTTATTTTATGGAGGAGCTTTCAAACTCTAGCGTATCGAAGATTGTTAAGCGAAATGCTATTTATACCACCGATAGTTCACCGTTAGCAAGATTAGATTTCGCCTGCGCCATTTTAGACTATCAACAACTCTTTAGAGATCAGCTTCCACATTTATTCCCTACATGCTCTGAGCGCAACGATAACTATGTCAAGAGACTACAATTATTTTAGAATACGCACGTTGTTTTTTTGGACCCAAAGCATGTCTGAACAATATAATTAATAATTTAATGCCTAGCTGGTGTCTTCCTACGTTGGTTTTGATCGGACTCCCTAAGCAAATATCATATAGCGTTGTAAAGAGATGTAATGGTAAAATGCCTAAAGGTAAAATCTAACAATAGGTGATTACTATTAGGAGGAAGGTTATTGCATATATTATTGAATCGGTAGAATTAATAATGGGAAAATGTAGCGCCATTTTAGACTAATTAATTAGGTGGAGAGAGCTGGTTCACTGACAGAACGATTCATTCGTTGTACAAGTCTAATGCCATATGAGCATCATGATTCTAAATCACTGATTAGAAAATTTTGGAAAGATAATTGCGTTCTTAGATGTCGGTGATGTACATGTCATTTAGTATGATTGCGTACTAAGAAAAGTCAGCGCGTTTTACAGGAGTGCACTTTTGTTCTGACATATCCGCGAGTCGCGTGCAAAGACTGAAAGGAATACTAGGCAGCTATCTTCCACCCGAAGAACGTGCGAAGATCACAATCAAGCTAGCTAATATGACCCTAATTTCTGATAATTCGACCTACAATAAGGTAAAAAAAAGATTGAATTTAGATTTTTAAATTTAGCCAAATTCAAGTTTTTTTTTTTTTTTCGAATTCTAAGGAAGTTGTATGAGTACGAGCTAGATTATATCATCTATATGGAAATGGTGACTACTTCTTAAGCGAATCTGGCATGCGTCTGAAGTTACGAACTGGTGGAGTTTCAGCAGTTTCGAGTTTAAGTTGTTTGTGATCGAAGCGAACGTAGACAAAAATTTGGTGTGTTGTTACTGTGACCGGTGATATGTAAGATACAGGTGACATTTTTGCAAAAAAAAACTGATGGACCTACGGGGTGTAATAACGATCGACTTTGTCTCTATGCGTTTTTTCAATGGCGCTGAAGATATAATTCTAACACCCAGCAATAGACCTGTACTACAAAAGTCCAACTATGAATATACGTCTCATCGATATAAAATGTAGTAATATGTAATTTGCTTCGACGTACTTCTCCATACGCTTATATTGAAAACCTAATTAACATGCAAAAACCAGTGACAGCTAAAGTTCCCAGCTCTATTTCATTCGGTGATTTAAAGAGTTCATCAGGTTCATTGGGTTCGCAAGACAGTTTTAGTAAGCTCTGGTTTTAGAAAATAACATATTTTAAACCCTATAATATAATAACCCTATAATAACTTCTATTAAGTTCGAAAAAGATTATTGACCAAATATGATCTTGATAGCCACTAGGGAGCAAGTGTTTTCTAGGCTCAGAGCCTAAAAACACTTTAATAAATGTGTACGATGCTGATGTCAACATAGATGCATTCATATAAAGAACTTTAATCTTTCTTTGAAATAACTAAGGTATTGGCTGTTCTTTCTTGGACTGTAGTTTGAGGAAGGTCACAAATAATAATTAGTTCCAGCCAAGAGTGGGCAGTTCCATTCGACACACGTATATGCTTATGCAACTTACTTAAATTGATGAACAAAAAATGGTCTATTTTAGGGCTTTTTTAGTGCGATTGATTAAAACACCATTGACGCTAAAATCAAGCAATAATCAGCCTGGGTAAAAAAAATCAAAATGCAGTTTATTTTGTTTTGGTTTAGATTCTAGTCGACGTTCCATGCTCAAATGATAGATCTTCGCTAGAGAGTGAAGAGAACAACATCTTTCATCAAATCCGTGTCAAGGAGCGGCTTTCCCTGCCGGAAACCCAGAAAGCTATTTTAACGTGAGTCCGCATACCGCCAGTTTCACTATTAATTAATATTCACGAATAATGCAATTCTCAAAAAATCGTTCGTAAAGTTCATACTTAAAGAGAACAAGATATTATATATATATATATATATGGCCCTTCAGTATGAAACGCGAAATAATGAACTCTAGTTTTTTTAGAGTTTTTCACAAATATAGTGATTCCGTTGTAAATTACCTTGGGTAGTCACCTCTTTATTCTGCTGCTGCAGAAGCCTGAGGTACGAAAATGGATCAAATCCCGAAAACTAATTTCGACGTCCCGTTGAGATTTCAATAACTGACCTATTAACAAGTTGTTGTGATTTTGAAGAAAAGTTGGAATTTGTTACAGCAAGGACCGGTAAGGATGTGGGAAACGGAAAGCCTCTATCTGTAATTCCTACAAGTTAGCCACCATGGTTCTTGCGGTGAGAAATCGAACATTGTTGTGAAATAGGCGTGGTTCAGCATTGCTCAATAATCTTGGTTGTTTCATGCATAGTTTTTTTCAGTTGTTGAGTCGTAATCAACATACCAATACTCATAAAGTTGTAGTGGCTAACACTTACATTAGACTACCAAATAAACATCATAAGCTATTGCAGCTATACATTTTCTTTAGTGTAATGTTTCGCCGGTTGAGTTTCATTCAGTTTCTGAGATAACCGTCTACGATTATTGTGGAAAATCCGTTCTTCATCTTCAGTTGCTATAGAATGCAAGAATAAATCTGTTTTTAAAACATAAGAGGAAAAAAGCAAGTGTTCCTTTTTTCCGATCCCCGCTCAAATCATGCCGCACCTATTTGTCGAATTTTTTCATTTTACTAACTTGTTCGAGAAGAACAAGTATGGTATCAATTAAAATGAACTTCGGGATGCATCGACTTTCTGAACGTGCCGTTATTCATCTAAGCGTGGGGCCATACATAGATCTCTGGAGTGAGTTGAAATTTTTTTTAACCTAAGAGCCTATGGCGCTTCTAGTAGTTGAGACTCTTCACTTTGTATAAGGTTTACACGGCAAGCTGTCTCAGCCGATGAAGTTTCAAAGTGAGAGTCGTGGTCGTGAGTCGCTGGAATTTCCCGATTTTCAATTGTTCATTGCTGCTTGCTTGCTAAAAATCTAAGTAACCAGATTGGTTAACGGTCTCAGATGTGAACACATACAAGTACGTGTCGAGGAGAAATGTCGTACACGCAAAATGCAGTATCGTTATAAAACATTTTAATGAATTTTTTCGCGTTTCACAATAAGCGGCCCAATTCGGTTGTCATGCTGCCTAAGATAAAGTCAGCTGTTATTGTAATACTTGTGGTGAAGATTATTTACGTATGTTTCAGGCATGCACTTCGTCGACTACGGCCAGGTGGTGCAACTGTATATAGTACGTGCTCGTTGTCACCGGTTCAGAATGATTCAGTTGTGTATATGACGCTGCAGAGCTTCAAACAGATGAAATTTGTCATTACAAATCTTAGCGAGACTTTTTCGCCCTTCGTAGAACAAGGCTTGTTTCACCTGTATGACAAATGTCGTTATGGCCAGCTTGTCATGCCTAACTTAACAAGTAATTTCGGCCCGATGTATATTTGCAGAATTGAAAGAGTCAAATAGGTACTCCTTCGTTACATCTTTTCATGTTTATATATAGGAGAATAATAGCATGCTAATAGTCACCTTTTAGTTGCGATGAACACTAGAAAAGGAGGTGGCAAGCAGTGTGTCTAAGACGCAGGTAAAATTAGAGACCGCAAACACATATATCTCATAGACTACACGGATGTGAGGTTCGATTGTTGAAGTAAAACAAAGTTTTCACCTTGATATAATAGACAGTTACACGATGATGGTATCATTTATCACAGATGTAGCTGCAATATAGCGATGCCTTTTTGATACCACAGACGTCTTGATACTGTCTGGTAATAGTTTATCATTGAAATAAAATTAATTAGGTTGCTAAATTGAATTATTTTATTGTATTAGGTAATACCTAGCGTTCGGTAATTTCATATGTGCAGTGAGTACTCATGCACGTACCCTTAAGAACCTATTTAATAATTAGAGTGCAACTGGAAGATCAATTCAGGTGCAGAACTTGAATTACCTTATTTTAGACATCAAAGCATCATCGGACGCTGCGATAATTATTCAGCTCAAAATATTGCTGTAAGCACTACTTAGAAATGCATAACGTTACGTAGTGACTCCGGGTTAGCCCTAGGAATGAGCGGAGCAGACCGAATTTAGACGTGTAATTTTTAACACACGTTGTACCTTAGACAACATTGGATGGTTGAGGGATTAAAAAGGCAAGGACTGCTATTTCGAAATCTGTATAAACAGACGCAGATGCGTACACAAATTTTGGGCGGATATACGCAGCTTTAATTGGATGAGTAGTTTTAGACTACGAAGCAGGCCTCGCATGGCATCAAGTGTCAGAATTATGAGCAATTGGATGAAAATATAGACCCGGTTAGGCATCCAGGTTTAGCTAGTTAGGTTATATAAATGGCGAATGACCGTTTGACACTGTTCCTCTGACGGAGGAAATAAATAATACTAACTTAAGGTATGAAAGTACTGGTGTCTAGTTCTTTTACATATTGTCAAGGATTTCATACGCTTCCAGCCGAGAAATTCCGCTTTCATCAGTTCTAATATTTAGGCTACACATGTGCCCAGCCAACTCCACCTTTCTTGCGTGGTCCAAGAGTTCTTTGACCCTGTTAATTAACTTCGTATTAAATAGTTTTGCAGAACATCAGTGTTCGTGATTTAGTGCCAGAAAGATCGGCAAGGCTTCTTTCTGCGATGTTACTGCTTTTCTCACTGTACAATCATTGATGTTGGTCTTCTACATCTGTATAGTGTATGAGCGCCCAGATTCTGTCGAGAAATGTTAAGCGCTATTAGGTTGGTAATATACTGAACGCGCTTAGACAGTCTCTTCAGGTTCATGTTATGCTGCTCAATGAGTTCCTTGACCTCTTCGAAGCTCCCTTTCAGGATACATGAACATATTTGGTCAGTCCTGGGATTCATGGTGGGATGTTTTCTGCACGTTTAATGATCTTTGAGGTGAAATCGGCTAGCCATATTTTCAATTGTAGACTGATTCGTTCAAATTTCGGAAGGCTAGGCGCTGTGTCAACAATGCAAATGGTCCGTTGCCCCATCGGAAATTTGTCTTACTCGAATAGCCGTGGGCGTATTCGGTCTACTTAGTGCGGCCAAGTTCATTAAATAATACTACTATTTGTGAGCGGTTATTCGTCAATAGGAGCTAAACACACGAGAGTCGTCTCTATCAACAGCGGATTTTCATCTTCGACAAGATCTTTTTTCAAATGGAGTCAACAATGTTTTTACTAATGCTCGCCTAGCACTTCGGTTGGCGACAGAACTTACTTCAGTGCTATCTTTAATTTTTGCGAGAACAATAAGTAGCTACTGATGAGTCTAGATAAAAAAAAAGTTTCTATCGAAAAATATCGATTATTTTTACTCTCCTTAATATATGTATATATTTTGCATTTAGTTCCAATAGTTTCTATTCTTTAGCGAGTTTAAGCGCGAGCCTTGTTAGGAGAATGATGTTATAAGATGGAGTTTGCCATACAGAAAAAATAGTTACTAAAATTATTTATGTTGACGTACACTCGTTTAATTAAGAAAATATCATACATTGCGCAACACCTAAAGGTTAAATAACTGCGCTTGTAGAAGTTTTGTATTTTGTTCTGATAAGCCGCTGAAGTGTTTTAATTGATCAGCGACTCGTTAGGTATTTCTAAGTGCTACTCAAATGTTACCGTGTATTTTTTTTTTATACAAGAAACAACGCAGTCTTCAAAATGAAACCAATACGCAACGCCATACTATTAAACCTTTGTGAGCGAATTTTGCCAACTGTTAAATTTAATAACTTATGCATCATACGCTACTAGCAAAAGAAACTTAGATTCTAAACACTCCACGCGTTGAGAACGAAAACATCTTTTAGTCTCGGAGATCAACGTTTAACGATCAAGTTTTTGTTCTTCGAAGATCACGAGGCACCATCGAAAATCAATGAAGACATTAGGGACAGTATTTAAATGGAGAAAACGCTTCAGGAACGTAGACTGAAATGAGCAAATGTCCAGTGAGGAAGTAACTAAATGTCAGATCCCGAAGGACACAAACGTATTGCCGCAATCGAAAAGGCCTTTTACGAAAAAGAGCTTCGAGTTTAAAGGATTTCTATCGGCCAAAACTGGCATTTCGCCTAGCACGTACCACAGAATATATATATATAACCCAAATACTGGAACTGCGGAAACTCAGTAAACGTTAGGTTCTCTGTAAACCGATTCAAGGTCGGTTGAAAATACGTGTGGTGTATTTCAGGTGCGAAAGGTGTGGAACTTTATTTAACAAAAAAAAAACCACCTGTAGCCATAGGCATGGTTCAGCCTTTACCGCCAAATGGAAGTAGGCCAGGCGAGAGAATGTATCGTCCCGGAAAAAAATTAAGCTTGGCAGCAGTGTTGATAAAGGTCTAGTAAAAATTAATGGATGATAATGAAATCATTGATTCCGGACAAGCAAATTTTAGATTTTTTCGTCAGAAGTCAAATATCGATAATAATTCGATAACATTCGTAGCAGCAGAAATATACCTGTGCTTCTTTTAGGACCGAAATTAAAATTCTATCTTTAAGGTATACTTGTTCGTCTTTAGTAGTAGTTTAAGCGATCAGCTCTTGTTGAGCTCAGGTAGTTCCGGATGCACGACAAATATGCTTCCCACTTGCGCTGATCAGTTACTTATCATAAAGACTTAAAGCAATTTGCTAACTACATTTCTATCTAAGAGCATGATTACTACTTGATTCTTTAATGCAGATCGAACGTCATCAAGAAACTTCAATATATACCCGCCGATAGCATTCTTGTCGAATACTTCCTATCCACTAGTTTTGTTTCAGGTAGTAGAGGGATGTCGATCATGGGCATAACAGAAGGCTTACTACCTGTTGCAAGTAGATATTCTGTCTGGCGGGAAAACATAACGAAACAGCATTTTATAGAAGATGGAGTTTCTCAAGATGCTACATGATGCTTGCACAATCTACGAGAAGCATGCCCATCGAAGACTTTGATTGCCTTTCATTGCGCGATTGCATTACTAGGTAAAAGCCTGTTCGTAATTATGATGCAAGTGAATAGACCACATACATTAAATATATGGAGGAAGAGAATACAAAATATTAAAAAAATGTTAATGGTTGTTAACATGTTTGTTAGAATATCACAGTCTTAGGGTCTCACCCATACTAAAATTAATTTCTTACAATGGCAGGAATAATTGCAGTTCCGAGAGTAACGTGAACAAGAACGCACCAGCGATTCCGGTTAGCCGCTTGCAAATATGGCATTAGACGCAAAGGAGAAAAACAGTGATAAAGATTGTTAGAATCTGCAATAGCTATTACACACAAATTAGCCAAAAACTAAGTTTTATTCACAATAACTAAAATTATCATTTAAGTTAAAAAAACACGATCTTCAGGTAGAATTATGTTGACTTCTTGAATCGGCTTTATTTAATTTTTTGCTTAGAATTTCAAACTACTTTGTATCGCTTACTATTTTAGGACAAGCTATTTTACCGTATGGTAACATTGTTTACCACGACTATACACGAGCACAAACAGATATAACACACAGACGAATTATTCCACGTAACTATGGCCTGCGGACGAAATGCCACTGACCTAAACTACTTTGTTCTTCTTTTGTAATTATAAATTTATTGGAGGCTGCACGTCTAGTAAATAACGCAACCGAAACAAGGCCGTAAGCTTAAAAAAATGCAGACTGCAGCATATAATCATTGCAGATATTTCTCCTGAAGATTGTACACGAGATCGAATCAACAGTTAAGCATCTATGTGTACGTCAGAGGTCCATAAGTATATAACGCCATTGAAATAAGAGTATGTGTACACCAAGAAAATTGGCCCGTAGGCAAGTGCCGCAGTAAATGTCACATTGCACAAATGGGGCATTGGATTTTGCCATATTTAATTATCGATTCTAGCAGTTGAGCCAATTCAGTTGTTCAGTAAATTTTTAGCTGTGAACTGCCGTCTTTTTGAACTAGGCGCACCGCGGGCTCGCTCGAACAGAGAGAGCTGTATGTACGTTACGGCAACGCAGGGCGAACTGCTTGGACAAACGTAACTTGAGCACTACAGATCAGTGGGAGCCTGCAGCTTGTTTACAGACACTACGTCCATGAACGATTTACGGAATCGTCAAATCAATGTGGAAGACAAATCGATGAAAAGAGTTATCGCATATCGTAAGGACGCCTTCGGAGCGCATATCCAATCCAGCGATAATCATCAACATCCCTTTTACCAGCTGCATCCTTTTTGAAAGGTGCTCCGATTATAAATAACAATAAACATTTCGATAGACCAATGGCTCAGACCGATATGTGGAAATGTGTCTAACGGACAGCAGTTCTCGTTGAAACATACAAGTTCGAGGAATCAGTTCGATAGTTACTTACGTTAGTTTCCATAACGTGGACACATTTACGGTGCTTTTACGCAACTGATCACAGATCGTGATGCGTATCATTCTTATTCACTTGTACAAAGTAGTAGCGTAGTTATGTAAACGAAACGGAAATTGATACCGAATGCTTCGTTCTAGGTTATGCACCGGAAGACACAGCACGTTTGTTGTCATCGTTTCGAAAATAACTACGCCATATCTTAAAGGTAGGCTGAGCAAAGTGGCTGACATAAAATATAAAATATATTTTAGAGCGATCCGTACTTTTTTCTGTTTTGAATTTGTCTCTAAAATTTTCTTGGCTTCTCTCGAAATGGCCTTGCTGTTCAAGTCGCTTGACAAAACTGGGGGACAAATAGAATTGCCACTGACATCGGTATGACATTTCTGTCAGCTTCAAGTTCGCTAAAAAAGAAAAGAGACGCACAGAAGATACTCGAACTCAACTGAGATTGTCTGAAAATCATTTCGTTGTCCACTAAACCTACTTCAGTTAATAGTTTATGTACCGGTTTCGCAGGCACGCCGATAGGCAGGCGGCAGGCGTTGTACCGTAAAAAAACAAATAAACCACCAGAACCTTGTCGTCATAGCTGGCTAGAAAATTTATATGCTAGGAGTGTGAAGGTTATTACGATGCATAAAATATATGAAAATTTGTATTTGGGTATGTGTAACATTATTATGAATATACAGTATATTGGCTTTTGCAATAATGTTAGCAAAACAAGCCTTGTCTTATTTGAAAAATTGAGCGTCGTAGGAACTTCACTAACCCAAGTAACTTTTCATTTGTCACTCCGCGTCAAGTCATATGAAAACCAGAAGAAACAAACCGTTTGAGAAACAGTATTACGGACTCTATATAAGAACAACAATGAATAATATTCAGTGAAAATGTTTGGAAGAGTTAAATACTGAGTGGGA